TATATAGCCCTGGGCATTGGCTAGGAATGGTGTGTTCTGGGTATTTTAAGTGCTAATTTTTATGTCTGGGGAAAAAATGTTTAGATCCATGGAACTGACCAGTGTATGCAAAAATTCTGAGCTGTAAACAAATATTCTCCCTGGGACCATAATTTTTTGCAGTTTACAAAAAAAAAAAAAAAAAAAAAAGAAGAAGTCTTAAATCAACTGCTCTAGAAAGCAATCAAAATCTCCCTGATATTTTTGGATGGGATGGGGTGTCACTGCCACCTCCCTGAACTGGGCAGACCTCTGCCCAAGATTTTGAGTTGAGAGGCAATAGCACGCAAAGGGACCTCTGGAGATGGCAGGAGCCAGCTGTTGTTCAGAGCAAACTCAAGGTTTTGTCCCATTTGTGGTCTGCATGAGTCAATTCTGTTGTAAAAAAAAAAATAATCACAAATGGATCAAAGCATTGACTGTTTGGCTGATTCCCTATCCTTGCCACGGATTTCTTGCTGCTAAAGCACTGGGGTTTTGAGCAGGAGTGCTGTGTTTCATGGGGAGGATGACAGGTACCATGTTACCTGAAGGATTGCTTGCACAGCTCTTTCAACAGTGTGTATGTGGAAATATGCGTGTGGTGATGCTCTGTTCAACATAAATATCAACAGTAATTGATGCGTAGTCATACAAATAAATATTAGCTTTAAGTTTAGTAGTACATATTTGTAAGAGATATTTTTCTAAAATATACTTTATTCCATGAAACAGAAGAAAAATAAAAAGGGATGGAAGAATAAGAATTTCTGGAAAAATGAGAGGTAGCTGAAGACTCCAAATCCCCAACATGTTCTAATACATATGGAGTAGCAAAAAGTCCTGTCCCTGGTAAACGTGGCAAATAAGTCTCTGGTTGTCTTATCTCAGTCTCTCTGCTGTAGAGCACACAATTTATCCTGCATAGTACTGGAGTGGGTTGCTGAAAGCAAAGAAATCTTTTGACATCACACAGGGTAGTCTAGGAATAAATGGTTCTCAGTTTTCATTAAGATAGTGAATTGGGCCATGGTGCTCAACCTCTGAGCCCCTGTAAAGACAAGGGTACCTGGACCATCTCTGGGAATGCCCAGACTCTATTGAGGCTCTTCATGAATAGATGGAATGAAACCTGGGCCTTTAACAAGGTTGGGAAGCTCTGGAGACCCCTTCCAGAGGTGTTTTCTAGATCTACATTTTGATTTCCTATGCAGTTACCAAAAAAGCTGATTAATCTAAATAGACCTGGAATAGCTCATAAATTGTTAGACCCTTTCTGGATCATCAGCAAGAAAAGTTCACCCTAGCTCTGAATATTTTCCAGCACATCTCTGCTTCAGAGGTTATTGAGCACCCATGCTCAATGGCCACTTGCTGCAATAAGCAGAACAACTTTAAAGTGTAGTTGGGGCCAACTCCACTGATTTCATTCTGAAGTGTCCTAGGGTTTGCTGCTGTTCTGGGTGATGCAGGTAAGTTTTTATAGGATATTAGAATAGAGCCAAGTCAGCCAGCAGTGTGCTAGCCACTCTTCTGCTTTACTCATCATCAAAAGAATTCAGCTCGCTTCCACTTGCAAAACCTTGTCCTTGAGGACAGAGCTGTGTGGAAAACTGCTTTCTGGTTCAGCCAGCTAGCAAAAAAGTGTACTTTTGGGTCAGCTGGAATAGTTGTGGTTTGTTTTTTGTTTGTTTGTGGTTTGGATTTTTTTGGGTGTAGTTTTATTTTTGTTGTTTGTTTTTTGTTCCAACCTCTCCCCCTTGTGAAATGAAGAAACCTCAAATTCTTTTTGGGTTGACACAACTGTTGGGGCTGTTTCAAGATAAAACATTGCGTTTCTTTAAAATATCTTTTGAAAAGGGTTAATAAATTTTAGTCAATATTGGATGGTTATATTTTTCTCTTTTTTCCCCTCTGTTTTGTTTTTTTTTTTTTTTAAACCCCTTGTCAAGAAAGTCTTCATAGAAACATAGAATAGTTAGGGTTGGAAAGGACGTGAAGATCACTTAGTTCCAACGCCCCTGACATTTAGTTCCATGCCCCCTATGGCATGTTGTGGTGGCACAATTTAATGTTTTTAATGGAATGTTTCTGTATGTCAAGCAGGAAAACTTAATGAGGTTTTTTGAAAGCCTGGAAAACCTGATTTCTGGCAAATGAATGCTATCTTTAAAGACTTTACTGCTCTGTTACTGCACCACCACCAGTCCAGGAAGAACCACAGACTGACTTGAGTATCTGGAAGGAGACCAGCTGATACTGGCCATGAAATCAGAGCTCAAGTGCCATGGTTTCATTTTTGTCATGTGCTCAGAATCAGTTTAGTGTGAGCTTTTTGTTGGGTTTGGGTTTTTTTGTGTGTGTGTGTCTTGTTAATATCACTTCTGGCAGGTGAACAAGACAGTGCAAAGGGGTAAATAACTTCTGCTTGTGCTCCTTGTGATAGACAGATGGCCTGACCTAAATTTCTGTTTTGTAATTAAATTCACCTATATTTTCCTATGGGATATCTTCTTAACACCTAGACAAGCTAACTCACACTTCTATCACTGGCAGTAACAAGCAGGATCAGGCAGCACACTTTCTATCCATGAAAGAACTGAAGACATTCTATCTGGTTTTTACTATCACCTTTTTCACAGGCACTAATGCACCATCCTTGTAAATACCCCACAATTACTGAAACCTTCTAGAGAAAGATGCTAGTGCAGAAATCCTATCAGAATATTAGAAAATAATGCTATTCTGAAATCATATTTAACACATTTGTGGGAACAAATCCCATATTTTTATTCATTTACTAATTGTAAAAATCATGAGGAAGGGGTTGGGTTTTTTTTTCTTAACACACATGACAACTTTTGAAGACCTTTTCAGTGTAAATGGAAATATATTGTATACATAGATCGGTTCAATGTGTCTAAGACTCAGGTTTTTTTGGAAGTACCAATCTTGTAAGAATTTAGTGGAGTCACTGGGATAATGGCTCCTTGAAAGTCCTTAGAAACTGCTGATTTTCTGGGATGCAGCATTGCCACAAGTTAGACTTCCATTTTTTGGCACTGTTTTTTTTATTTTTCTCTTCTGGGCACTTCAAGCTTTGCAAAGGGAATGTATTTCCCTTTGGGTCTGGCTCTTCATTGCTCTTGTTTCAACAAACCCGTTTTCTTTTTTTATTACCTTTTCTGGAATCAGCAAGTAATTATATTCCAGGAATAGCACTTTTCTTTTTTTTCCTTTTTTATATGTAAGCAGGCTCATTCAGTTTATATCGGATGAAACATTTATGCTGTTGAATACGAAGTGTATATACAAGGCAGAGCACAGAAAGTAAATGTGTTTATCTTGAAATTGCAGAATGTTCCCTGGGTTTCTAAAAGTGGTCTTGTAGGAATGTCCTAAATAGTAAAACTGGAAAAATATTCAAGGTATTTAGTAACTCTACCTGTTATTTATCAGTATTGAAGCCTTGTTTCAGTTCTTATTCCTGACTGAATAGGTAGGCCATGCTGCATTTACCACTATGTTGGCTCCTCTCAGGTCTTATGGAGACTTTAATCCAGGGGGGGAAAGTCATTATATTAATTATGGAAACAGGAAATGCACGCAACGAAGCATTATTGGTTACCAGGCTGCAATGGGCTGTGCTAGGTAAAGCTACTGCTCACTCTTCTGAAATGACCCACTTTTAGCTGCGTATAAACTCTCCAGACTTAGGCTGGATGTTTTCCACTTAGCCTTAGATGGAGTTATTCTCTGGAAAGATTTGATTTGAGAAGGACTGGGGTTAAAAATAAAAAGCTAGAGACAAGCAATCTTGTCCACTGTCAGCAGCACTTATTACTTTTTCATCCAGGAGCTGTGCAGCAGCATCTCTTGGCTTTGAAACAAGCTAGACATTAGAGGCAGTGGCTGATGTTTTACAGCTTACAGGCTGCACCATCAAATCTCTCAAAATGCTGTGATTTGACTGACTTTTTGTTGTCTGATGTATTCAGCAATTTGTGTGTATCTTTCTCGTCAGCTAACCTTCTCTTTCAAGTTTTATAAGTTTTGAGGGGGCAGAGATAGAAAGCGTGCTCAGTGTCCTACTGCTGGATGGGGATTAACAAAATGGACATGTGAGCAGGACCCTCATGGCTTGGATGTGGGATGCTGGTGGGCACGCTCTTCTCAAATCAGAAGTTACAGTAAGGGGCTTAGAGCAGGAGCGTATGAGTTGAATTCACTATGTCCATTATACGGTGCAAGTCAGGTGTAAAACAGAATCCTGCAAATATCATGGTTTTCCAGAGATGAAGCAGAGAGAGAGCATGTTGAACACTAAATGTCACTAATCTGAGTGTAGAGGTGCTGGTAAGACTGTAGTCATGTAAAGTCTTTGGCACAATGTAAACACACTTCTATTTTTAACTAAAATTAGGGTATTTTAGGTGTTGGAAGATTTTCAGCTGCATGTAAATGACTTCCGGAAAACATGAATCTGTACTTGACATTTAAAATTCATCTCTTCATGTGATGTAGATCTGGAAATTCCTCTGCAGAAAGGTACTATGAACATCAACCCAAAAATCCTGACTAAGCTGAGGACTTCTTTGGTGCAGGTACCACTTAGAGTGGCATAACCCTTCCTTGTGTGACTGCAGTGTTAGCAGAATTAATGTAATGGCAGTCTTGCATGTGGACAACAAGTCTTGTCTGCCAAACACTTGCTTTTATGATTAGAAGGAAATTTTGGTGGGAAAAGGAATTTCATTTTGTCTTTTTAAGATAGATGCAGAGTATAGCTCAGCATGTGCATCTTAAAGAGTAGGTTCAGTTGTTTCCCATGACTCAAGCTGGTATGTGATAGAACTTACAATGATGTAGGAAAACCAGATAATTTTCAGGTAATGAGTCCAGTTTCAATAGGATAAATGTCTGCCAAAACCTGAAGTCAGTTTGAAGTCTGCTTTGTGGATCTTGGAAATTGCTTTTAACAGGTCCTGACTTCAGCTGAGAGGGGAATGAAGAGGTTTTATACCTATCCTTGAGCAGTCACTGAAGGCTGGCTGTAAAACATTTTGCCAGGTGATTTGCCACAAGCTTTTCTGGTGCCTACAGGGCTGGGTTCAGCTGGGTGCACCATGCTTTGGTACTGGCAAGAGGCTGTTTTTCCTATGGGACTGAGCTTGGAAATGGGAAAAATAAGATTTCTAAAATAATACAATTGATTAAATCACCTTGGTATTTTTTTCTTAACATATGCATAAACACAACTTCATCTGGATGGTAACAGTAACTCTGACTAGCAATTCTCTCCTGTCCTTTTACTTCAAAAAACACAGCGTTGCCTCTTAGCTGATAAGTTGGTTCATGGGAGCAAAGTGTGCTTATCTAGCTGTTTTCAGGCTCTAATATGGGAAGCAGGTGATGCATAAAATGTTCAAATGAAGAACAAATTGACCAGAGGAAAAATATTCATTTAGATTTAAAAAAAGGCATCTGGTTTTGTTGGTTTTGCTCACTGCACTGAGCTGGTCTATACCACAGATACTCTCTTGGCATTAGGTACCTGTTGCTGAACTTGTGTTTTCATCTTGAACAGATAGTATAAAAAAAGTAATAAATATAGCATTGGACTTCAGGTTAGAAATACCCAACCCACCAAACAAACAAAACTCCAAGCAAAACAAACCCCGAAACAGCCCCCTAGATAGCATTTCTCTTAAAGAGTTTATGACAACTATATACTCTCACTATAGGTAAGAAGTTGCAATGACATCAATAACTCCTCTCATTTTTCTGCTGTAAATATCTGACATTAAAAAAAAACCAACCAATTCCCCAATTGTAGTGTATCCCAGATCCATTTGTACCCAGTGAGATGAATCTTCATTAATTTGTTTGACCAGCTCTACCTGAATTTTTTTACTTTGGTGTTAAAGTCAGAGTTCTAGGTTGTACAACTCATAGCACCTTTGCAAATCTGTGGGGCTTTTAATTATTTCTCCCCTCCCCAACAATATGAACACTTGTGTTGAACAGTGCATGGTGTCTTTTCCTAGTCAAAGAATATTTAATCATAAAGAAAGAAAAGCCCATTTCCAAGGAAGATTTGAAGATTTGTGTTGAAAGACTTTGCAGGCAGCTGAGGCTCTTTCTTTGATGGCTTCTCTGCTCAGTAGCTTCCAAAAGCAAAGGGCATAGAAGCTGAGTGTACAGTTGCTTGGGATTTTAAAATGAAAATTTATTTAGAAGTCCGGGGTCCTTAAGGGAAACAAAGTAAAAATAACTGCAAAACTGAAGTGGAAAGGAACATTGATATTCAGTGTATTAATTTCTCACAGGCAGAGATTGACATTAACAGCTCTGCTGGGAAATTACAGTATTATTGTTTAAATGCTGTGGAAATCCAAACAAAGACTAGGAAGCTACAGGATGTTCTCTGAGAATGTGAGTTTTCCTGAAATAAAAGAAATTAAACAGTTAATCTCAACCCCCTAAGTATTGATATAAAGATGTATAAGTTAAAAGGCTTCACAAACCAGCACGACAGGGATGTGATATGGTGCTAGCCAGTCTCCAAGTCAGTATTCTCAGTGTGTCTGTAAAGTAGTTTAACTTTAAATGGTGTCTTAACAAAGCAGGTTCAAGAGAACAGTAGCAATAATAAATGATGGAGTTAATGACTCTATTGTCCAGGGTTTGAGCTGCAGTAGCAAAATAAGGAATGGGGCCTGTTTCTGGACCTTAAAAATAGCCTCACTGATGAAAAGTCTCCTGGAAGAGCATCCCTGGGTCAGGGCCCTGTGGGGTGGGAGATCCTCACTCTCGGGGACTGCCCTGATGTAACAAGACCCTGCCCTGAAAATCCTGTGGCATTGGATCTGCTGGAAGCATGGTCAGGCTGAAAACCTTGACCCCCGTGCCTCCAGCTTGAGCTTGGTGGAATTGCTTGGCAATGTGGGTGATGCCAAGCCAGAGTGACTGCACATGTTGCTGCTTCACAAAAGCAACTCTTGATGGGTTTTTTAAGTCAGAATAGAACAATGCAAGAGTCACTTGTGGGAAAATAAATATGGAGTTCAAAGCTGTGCTTTGAGGTCATTGCTTCCCCTACAGCCATTGCTTGAATCATAGAATCACAGAATGGTTTGGGTTGGAAGGGACCTTAAAATCTGGTTTCACACCCCTGCCGTGGACAGGGACACCTTCCCCTAAAGCAGGTTGCTCAAAGCCCCGTCCAACATGGCCAATTTATGTAAAGGATCCATAGACCTGGTTTTGGCACAGGACCAGCTCATACCTGTTTTTACTGCTACTGAGTGTTCTCTTTACAGCAAACCAGGCAACGGTCATTTTATAACTGCTTTGTCACCTTCCTAATTTAAAACAGCTTTTTTTGTGACATATCAAATAAGTTTCTTTTCTCTGTTTACATCTGAATGATCATCTGCAGTGCTAGGCAAGAGATTAGCAGACCTCAAGAAGGAAAGGATGGATTATACCTTGAAGTAGATGTCCACAAATACCCCCAGACATACTGCAGCCTGTTTTTTCTAGCTGATCAAATATAAACATGGAGGGTGCTCAGGAAGAGCAGCCTTTTGCAGTCAGGCCTGGTGTCATCTTCCCAAGATAACCACCAGTTTTCACGCTAAGCACACTTGTTTTGGCATTTGAACATGCTAGTAAGGAGCAGAAAGCTTTTTAGATCTGTCGCAGATGAGATGCTGAGCACTTTACAGAATGTTTCAGTCTCCAAATAGACTGTTAGTGGTTCAATGTATTTGTGGTTGGCTAGGTGGCTCTCAGCAGCTGTGTTATGCAGCTGGATGCTGCCCTTTGACACTGATGTCATTAGGTATGATCCAGGACACAAAGCAGAAAAGATGAAAGTGATTTTTTCTGTGACTGCAGCATATTAGGAAATGTTAAATTTGGTCTTAGTGTTTTATAAAATGAAGCTGTTGATGAAAGGACTGTGACATACCTTGTCAACCCAATCGCAAGGGAGAAGAGTAGGCTTTGGAGCAGAGCTCTGCTCTGTCCTATGGACTTGGGTGGAAACCTCTTCTGTGCCTTTTGCATTGCAGCCCATGGCTTGTCCATCTCATGCCATACAGTACTGAAATGTCCCTAGTTTCTCAACAAGCTGCTTCTTTTGCTGTTTCTCAAATCTAGTCAATGTTAGTATCAGCACTGCCATTATGTAGTAACAGATTTGGCCATGTAAGGGACATCCTCTTTCAGACATCCAGTCTTTTCCCCACTTCAATTGGCTGCTCTCATGTCCTGATCTCCTAATTTCTCCCAGTCTGATGTGGAAACAAATAAGATGGTGTTTTTATTCCCCACAAAAAGCAGTGAGGTATGTCCATTCTTGAGACAGAGATGCCCTGACTTGCCCTGACACAGCCGTGTGCATTCTTATGTACTTGTAATGTTGACCCTGCTGGGAGTGGGTTTGGGCCAGGGACAGTAAACTCTGTGTAGTTGTAAGACTGGGTGCCTGTGAAAACTTTCCTGGAAAGTTGATAAAACCTTCAGGAGAGTCCATGTCTCTTGGTTGACATACTAGTGGGAGTAACAAAATGTTTTAGGAGTGTTAGGTGGACCCTCAGACAATGTTTGGTCATGCGCATGGTGGCAAACAAAGAAGCCTCTGACTGCTGTAATTCATGACCTATTGTTTTATTGCATTTTGAGGCCCAAGCATACAGAACTTGAATGTTTTTCTAGTCTGAATTGACAGTCCTTCAGAAAAGAGATAAAATAAAAACTAGTCAATATTTTCATGGCGAAGACTGGGCAATGAAAGGCTCTTGCCTAGAAGCAAATAGGAATATTTTTGCTCATCTTGAGAGCGCCACGGAGCAACAAAAGGAGATGGAAATATCTTGAGATCTGGAACTGTGTTTTTTTCCTGCAAAAAATGAAAGTGGCTCAGTGCTCCTCTGGGAGCCCTCTAGTTGGTTCAAGAGAAATGAAGGACAAAGTCATTGCTTGACATGGTACTATGCTGCTGGAAGTCGGAAGACTTTGGTCAGTTGTGTCATTTCCCATTAGGAACCTTGGAGCAGGTACTTTACCAAGAACTTAATTCTTCTTGCTGTGTATCCTTTCCCTCTGTTTCAGAAGAATGAATCATTGGGATTTAATATTTGGGATTAAACACTTCCTACGTGTCAGAACCGCATTTCACAGTAACAATGCTATATGCAGGCTGCCTATGTTGCTCATGCTGGGGAAATATAACAAGTATGGCAGCTCATTTTTTTTGGAGTATTACTCTCTTTTCAAAAAAGCAAGAGATCGTGAAGCTCTTTCATTCCTGTGGTTTTGCAAGAATGAGAAAGTGCTGTGATGGGCCTCACAGCAGAAAAATGTGATAGGTCTCATAGCTGAAAAATGTGTATTCTTCAGCTTGAATTCCTGCAACTCCTGAAGTTGCTCTCCTTTGCTCCCCGTGTGGTAGCTCCTTGTGTGTGCTGGCTCTGGCTTTGCCAAGATTTGGGTTAGAAATGTGCTGTTTTGCATGTGTCTTGGACAATATTCCTCAACAGGCATTATTCCTCCTCCTGTGCATGATCTTTTAGTGTTTTCTGAGATATACTGGTCTGGTTTCTTCCTTCTGTCTTTGAAGAGATTGGGGAGTGTTTCAGATGTACCTACTGCCATTCCAGGTGAGGGTTGCAGAAGAGCTAAAATACTCTGGAGGATGAATTTTCTTGAAAGGTGAAGGGATTTTTATTATCAATTTACAGTTATTTTTAATAATTATGTATTTAAAAAAAAAATTACAGAGAAGACAGTTCAGAAAAGCCTGCAACTAAATTTGTAATAAGATCAAGTGATGGAAGATGATAAAAAAGGAAAGGGATTAATAAAAGTCTGGTAGAAATTTACTGTTTTTCATTGAGTTATGACAAACTTTTGAGTGTTCAGTATCTTGCAGAAATTACCACATGCAGAATGTGAGTGAAGATACAGTCTGAAGGACCAGAAATGCAGAAAGGAGAAACTCTTTGGGGATAGTATAGAGGGAAAAAAATCCCAACAAACCAGCAGGAATTCAGGCATAGACATTCAGATCATCTAAATTTCAGTGCTCGATTTCTGTAGCCCAAACAGGTCTCACTTTTTAAGTTTAATTTTTTTTTTTTCCCCTTCTCAGTATTAAGAAGAAAAGTGCTCCTTACAGTCTATTCACTGACAGAAATGTATTAGGTTGCTGAAGGAGGGGGAGATGAGACAGCCATATGTCACGGCTGAAAGGGAGCATGTCTGAGAGCATCAGCAATCATGCAAATGCCTACAGAAGGGAGAGTTAGTATTATTTATTTCATAACGTGCCAAAACCCACATAGGGCCTGGGGGATCAGATAGGATAAAAGTAGAATGAAATCCTCACTATCCTTAGAGTTGCTTGAGATTTTTTATTTTTTCCCTGCTAACCTCTGATGCTGTTGAGCAGTCATGGTGAGAACTAAGCAATAAGAACGTGTATGTGATGATACCAATGTATCCAAATAAATATTTTCAGCTTCCTTTTTTCCTTAAGGAAAGTGACATCCTCCTTGTGTTGTTCTGATGAGGATTTTAATTTATAATAATACAAGAAGAAATTAAATCTATGGGTCCGTATTCAGAGCAGTAAGTCATAAACAATAATGAGAAAATGTGCCTAAAAGCAAGGAAAGAATACAAGGAAATTCTTCCAACCTATCACTGCAAGAAAAATACTTAATGTAGGACATCGCTGTATTTCTGTGACCTAATGCAATTTTGTAAGCCAAAATCCTAATCAGAGCAGTTTTCTCCAAGTCAGTGTCTGCAGCATCATTTTGCTGGATATTTTGATGGGTTGTAATTAATAGCAAGGTGGGTAAATTCAGTCCAGGTCTGTTGAAATGCTTGAGCAGCACAGATCTTTTCTGTGATGCGAAGGAGGAATGCTACTGCACGCTTTAGTAGATACAGGGTTTACAGCTCTAAGACATACAGCGTATACATCCTCACACACTGTTCTTTGCCCAAAGCCAAATCAAAGGCACTTTTTGAAGGTGCCAGGCAGCAAGAAAAACTTAAGAAGCTCTGTGAAGACCCAGCATGCAGGCCACTCTAACATCAGCTGCTGAGGGATTGGGAAGACTAGGTATTTTTGTTGGTTTGTTTAAATATAAATATCTCTTTTGCATTTTTATGTGCAAAGAAAAATGTTTGGACGCTTTCTGCTTCCCATTTGGGAAGTTACTGCGTGGTGAAAAGGCCTCATAGCTGTTAGTAAATTAGACACTGAGGAGGTGACACAGTTTATTAAATTACCTGGTGAAACAGGGACTGGAATGACATTCACTGAAGATGGAAAGAGCACAAAATTAATCTTTCCTCTTTGTAATCTTAAAACACCCTCCCATAACAAATTATCTTGTGCATGATGAGAAAAACAATTAAAATCTGGAAGAAGGCAAAGAGTGCCTGGGCTCCATCTGAATTCAATTAGCACTTGATCTGGTACCACCCTGCTTTTGGCATTGCACCTATTCCCAAGGGGTGATTTACCAAATAAAGATGAAAGGTGAGGGGAGAACAGAGCTGTGTGAACAAGTCCAGGATGGGAGGTAATGTGACTGATAGCTGCTGAGGGCCACCACACCTGGGACTTGGGGCCCTGTACATGTAGATGTTGCCACATCTTCTCTTGCACTGCACCCATGTCTGAAGAAAACCCCTCTAAATAAACATATATGAAATATCTGCCACCCTTTAAAACAAAAATACCGTTGATAGATTCCTTAGCCATTGCCTTTATTAATGCTGTCCCTCTAAAAGTGCAAGTGTAAACCCCTCTAAATGTTGGGAAGTCCTACCTAGTGCTCCATCTGTGTCATCTGGCCCATTAGACAGCTGCATCTTGTAGGAAGCTGCCACAAAATGTTAGCTGATATTGAGGGCAAGGGGGGAAGAATGCTTAGACCTTTGTCACTACTTAAATGGATTATAAATACTGCTTTTTATTTTTTAATGCCCCCCCCCTTTTTCTTTTACTTGGGGGTATTGCTGACTTCATACAGCTCCTCCAAAACACAGTGCTGTGACCTCAAGTCCACCCTGTTGTTGGAGAGGCTCTTTGCTTGCTAAAGTGAATTTAAAAGAGAAATGGAGGGGGCTGTAAAGGCAGAATAAAAGCCAGGGTATTGATTTTTATAAAAATCCAGCACCACCTTTGCTACTCTGTTAAAGTTACACTAAGGGATAGCTGGCGTGGCTTCCAGTGGGATAATTACAGTCCCAGTCTGAGTAATGTCTGTATGCTTCAGGCTTGCGAAGTTATCTGCCTTTATTAGAAGGAGCTTTAGTGAGAAATGAAGGTGCCGAGCCTTCCTGGGTTCGATAGCTGGCATATTTTACATATCTACTTTCTGTAAACTGTTTTCTATAGTGCTTCGTAACAGGAAAGCTGCTGGGAGCCAAGAAAATATGCTCTGGCAGTGCTGGCCAAAGCCAAGGGAGTGACTTCCAGTACCATATTGCATTTGCCTCCTTTGTACATGAAAAGTTGTTGTGGATGTTCATCCACAGCTGGGGATTAGTAATTGGAAATGGAGGGGTGCACTCCTTTGAGATGGTCTGGGACTGGTGTATCTGGCCAAACATTGCCCTTTCTTAGATGTTATCATGCTCTTTTTTTAGATAAACTATAATCCCTTGGGGTATCACTGGTTGGATTTCAAAGCTGCATTTTTGAAAAAAGTGCTAATAAAAGGAGCCAATAATACGGTGGTTGTAAAACTCTTTGCCAGCTCTTGTAGAAGCAGCCAGTTTCCCCTAGTCCCCCATTCTTACCATTGGAAATAGCTGCAACTGTCCTTACCTTAAAAGCAAAATGTTAGTCACGGGCTATCCAGTATAAATGGGACTATCAAGAATAAATTGGACTGGCTGTGTTATTTTCTGCAACTGCCTGATGAATTTGCAGGAAAGGTAGGTCAGGTGCATAACCTTTTCTCTCTAGAAATAAGGTGGGATAACACTGAGTACTCTCATTACTGCAGGGTCACTGGCTGTGTTCCTCCCAACCCACTTGCCCTGAAGCGTTTCCAGTTAGGAGCTGCCTTGCTCCCTGCCTGGTTTTTCATATATATGGGATGCCTGGAAGACTTGAGAGGGTCAAAGTCAATTAAGGTGTCTGGTCCTACTTAGCACCTTAATTCTTCTTGCTGTTGCTTTGTTGCAAGGCTGTTTTATCTCTGTGTTTTTTGAAAGATGCTCATCTTTAGATAAAACCACAATTGTTTTAGGCTAAGCCCAGATGCTGTACCAGGTGTGTTCCTGGAAGGGCTGATGGATGATGAAGAGGACTTTGGCTGATGCAGAGACAAAGGGGAGACTTCAATGTTACAGGCTTTGCAAACTGGTTGCTCTGCAGGTAACTCTTACTTGGGCTTCTCCAGATGACCTTGAAGTTGCAGCCCTTGCTGGAGGTAAAATTGGCAACTCTCCTTGTTGACTTGCTGTGGCTCTCAGTTCACGGATTCAATTTAATGTCTGTTCTTAGTGGCATGTACATATTATACATATAGAGATAGCCCTCAATCAAATCCAAAGTTGATGATTATGTTTTCTCTTCTATAACTCCCAAGCAACCAAAGCCAGATGGGGTATTAATAATAACCACATGCTAGACTGCTCATATACTTAAACCCAAGGTTGCATGGAAGAGAAGGCAGGTTGGGACCTGCTGCTGCTATCCTGCTGTCCTCTGCTCCAGAGCTTTTATTTCTTTTAAGTAAAACTCTATCAAAAAAAGAATGAGTTTCACAGGCAGTGTCTGTACTTGGGATCCAGTAATGTATCGGTGAAGACTGGGGAGCCTGTCAGTACATGGTGGTGATAATAAGATCTTAGCCATTGTTTTAATTCATGGTAAATATGTAATTATGACTAATTTGCAGTATGCTTGGAGTTTTCTCCGCACTGCTGGCCCCTAAGGCTGCAAAACAACTCCAATCCAAAAGTGCTGCTACTGGGGCAGAAACATGGAATTGCAAGTTCCAATGGAAAAAAAAAAAAGAGCATTTAGCTGGGTTTAAAAAACCTCTCTGGGGAAAATTATATCCTTCTTCTGATGCACATGTTACCACTGTGGGACAAAAATGAAACAATTACATTTGGGAACCATCTTGTGACTGATACTTGTTGGAGGTCCCTGCCGGTCTCTTGCCCTCTCTCTGCTTTCCTTGGTCAGGAAAGAAAGAGGGTTAGGGAATGGCAGTAGCACAGCCAATATGAATGCCAAGCACCTTTTCTTCCTCTACAAATACCTACGAGCCCAGGGGTATTTGGGGTTTGGTTTTCTTACGCGTAGTCTGCTGTTTTTCTTGTGATGCTTCCAGGTTGGTCTTGGCAATTATTGAAGTGAAAAGTTACTGCTGAAGTTATTGGATGCTGAAATTCTTCAGGAGTCACATACTTTGGAGACTGGGGCTTTCAGCCCCAGGGACCATGGGAGAAGCCATTCCCACCGTAAGGACATTTAATGCCCTGCATCCTGCCATCGCACGCAGGTCATCTTGATGTTCCTGGGGACTGAGGGCTACCTCCATCTCAAATTAAAACCATATTATAACTGTACACTAATCTGGTATGAAGCACTTGTGTGTTGCTTGGTTATCATCTCTCTTTAAACTGTTATTTGAGTACTTAACCCAGTTCCTGTTTTCTGCATGGAGGCCAAAGCTTATAGGAGGTCCTCAAATCTGAATTATGAGCAGTGAGTTTAAAACATAACCCTGAAAAGCTGGATTGATATTGGTGAGCTATGACTGCTTGATTACGTGTTTTATAAGGAAATTATGTATTTTCTGATGTGTTTCTTTCTCTAGTTCCCCACAGCAGCTACTTTCACGAAGGCTCTGATGACTGCAGGGACAGTGCTCCTCTTTCCCTAAATGAAGCCTCTTTTAAAGAAACAAGTTTTTAACAAGGAAACATATGAAGATGCTGAACATCAGTGTGTGGCCGAGCTCGCTCTCCCCAGCATCATCCCTTCCCTTCCAGGGCAGTGGGTTGAGTGTGTCTAAATCTTTGCCCTGTACTACACGATGGTTTCCCACACGAGATGGCGCTCTTCGCCCAGCAATAGACTGAAAGGCAATTAATTTTATTAACTACTATTCACCCCCCAGCTCTTGCTCCCCTCTGTTCTGCCTGACCCCTTGGCCCAAGGGTTGCTTCTAAGCTACGGATAGGAACTGAGAGCAGCTCTGACTGCAGTTTCCAACCACACGTGAAAGGCTGGGGGGACAGATAGAAATGTGTTAAAAAAACCCTACCACCTCCAACTCATTGAAGAGAGGCTGCTAATTGATTTTTCCCATCTTAATTTGAGACTCCATTGATACAATCTTGTCCTCCAAGCCCAGCTCAGATGCTTTGCCTCATCCTTGTCCGTCCCGTCTGTGTCGTCCCCCCCTCCCCCAGGAGGCCTGCAAGCCCCAAACCCAGGGGACAAGACCCCATGGCTGCCCCAGGTTGGGGTGCAGACACTGAGGGCTTCCTGTGCACATTTTGGCCCCAAGGCCTGGCTGTGGGGCTGGGCCAGGTTCTCCCTTTATGCCTGCAGCAAGGGGCTCCTGTCCTCCTTGCTGGAAGCAAGGATGGTTTGGGAGGGAAATGTGATAGGGGAGCTGATGGTGCCCTTTGCCAGCCAGCATTAAAAATTCATGTGCATGATGGGCTCTTCCAAATAAGTCCAGGAAGGGTGAGTTTCTGCCTCCTCAGAACTGCTGGCAAGCACTCAGGCTGCCTGCCCTCTCCAGCCCCCAGCCATCATCCCCCTGGGAGACCAGGTGCCAGCAGGGCCCAAGTGTCTGTATGCTCTGCTCCCTCATGGTATGTGGTGCAGTCTGTCTATGCATGCTGGGATGAGGGGTACCTCATATGGAGGAAGTTGGGTGCCCCCTAGAATGATGGGGGTGACCAGCATGTGTGGGTGGTGACCTGGAGAAGGATGGGGAATAGAGAGCCCTAGTGGGACGCGATGTAGGTGCCCAAGAGGGGTGGGATGAGGAGCGCCCCAGCGGGGAAGTACACAGAACGTCGTGGCAGGGAGGGATACAGGGTGCTAAAGCAAGGACAGAGGTCGAGTACTCCAGGGATAACGGTACCCGGGAGGAGTTGGGTGCCGAGATGGAAGACTGATGAGGGCTAATACAGCAGCGTGGGATGTGGAGTGACCCGGGGTGTGGGATGCTGAGCTCCCGGGAGGGAGGGCCCGGAGGGGAGGGGGGCGGCTCCACATGGCTCATTAGCAGAAAGCAATTTAATATTTATGAAGTGCTCTTGTTTGAATCCCAAGTCTTCGGCTCCAGTTACAAGGAGCTGCGTCACCCTCCGATCACATGGTAGTTGTTGCTATTTCCAGGATCCCAGCTTCGCAGAGTGGCACAAAAGCTCTTTCCTCTTTTCTTGTCTTTTTCCCCTTCTTTCTTCCTTTTTGTTTTTGCCCTCCGCACCCGGGTTTCCCGCTCGCCGGCTGCCGACGGAGCGCAGGGCTGCGTTTGGGGATGCCGGGGCCGCTGCCCTGACCCGGGGCGGGCTGGAGCTGCCTTTCCCCCGCCCCTCTCCGGGGGAGCGGATCTGGCCGCTGCTGTCGATGAGAGCTGCCCGCTCCGACCCGGGACCGGCTCGGCGCTAGTGCCGGGGGGGGTTACCCCCAAAATGACCGAACTGGAAGGGGACTTCACTAAGCTGCTGCTGCTGAAGGAGGAGCGGATCAAGGAGCTGGAGCGGCGCTTGGGAGAGAAGGACGAGGAGATCCAGGAGCTGCGCCGGCGGCTGCACAAATGCCAGTCAGTGCTGCCGGCCCCCAGCCCGCACATCGGGCCCCGCACTACCCGGGCGCAGGGTATCTCGGCCGAGCCGCAGACTTATCGCTCCTTCCACGACCTCCGCCAGGCTTTCCGCAAGTTCACCAAGGCTGAGAGGTAGGGACAGGCACCCTCCCACGAGAAGCCCCTTCCTGAGTGGAGTGGCCGGGAGGGAGGAAGAGAAGCAGGCGGCGGGACATAGCAACCCCTTTCCCCCGCCTTCCCGTCTCGGGTCCCCGGAGAGGCGGCGTCCATCGTGCCCAGGGGGCTAGAGGAAGCGCCGGGAGCATTAGGGGCTTTCAGCCGCCGGGAAGGAGCCCTGCGGAGGATCGGATAACCCATTACCGGCGGCCCGACCCCCCTTCCCTTCCCCGCCTCGGCTCCGCTCCGGCTCCCCGGGGTGCGCTCGGCCGGGGGCGGTGGGGGCTGGGAGGACCCGGAGGGGAGGGAGGCCTCGGTGCCTTGCCGTAGCTGGGAAAGTTTGCAGCGGCGCAGGGAAGTTCTTTGGCCGCTGCCCGAGGCCCTAGGCGGGCAGCACCAGCCCGCCACATACCCGGGGCAGGTGATGCTTCTCCCCCCTAATCCTGTCCTGACCCCATCCTCCCAACGGGTTCCCCAAAAACTAAAGCTCACGCTCCTCCACCCGCGGGCTTTGCAGCGGTGCTTTGCCTCCAGCTACTCCCCTGCGCAGGGGTCAGGCACCCAGGGAGGGGGTTTCTTTGGGAGGGGGAGGTGGTGGTGGGGGAGCGTGGGTCTGCATCCTTCAGTCCGGGCTCTCCGGCAGTTTCAAGCGCCGGGAGTCTTGCCTTAATACACCGTGTGAAACCGAGGAAGAGCGGTGCTGGTCTGGCTCCCGGGGGATTTCGAGTGTGATGGGGAAGTTGCTGTGGGATCGCTCAAGTTCTGTGCGACTGCAGCGCGCGGGACCAAGTATCACCCTCCTTTCGGCAGAAGCTGTCTCTGGCTTTCAGCGAGTTAGAGATGATCTCGTTTCTTCCGTGCGTGACCGTTCATTTCAGCACAATCATTCATTCCTGACAGTATTTCTTCTAGCCGGCTGTATCTGGGTGTGGATCCTCACCGCTCTCCGCAATCTTCTCACAAAATGTACCTTGTCAGCACCCAGATCAAACTCCTACCCTTTCCTCTGCTCTTCGTTAACGAGACTATTGCTCGTTTGAAGACAAATGAGGAGTGCTTGGCTCTGGGCTTTTTTTTGATGTTGGGTTTTTTTTTTTGTTTGGATTTTTTCTCTCTCTTTTTGTTGCTATTTTTTCCTCCTGACTCTATGGGTGATTTCATAAAGCAAACTGCTATGCACAGGGAGGTGTGTGACTGCCGGCCATGCAAGCAGAGCATGTCAGTCTGTCCTCCCCTGGGTTAGCACATCCCTTTGCATGCCTGGCCCAAAGCACAGGCTGTGTATTGCAGGTGGAGAAGAAACCCAGGTCCAACTTCTTCCTCTGCCATTTCTTTTTCTGAAGGCTGTGATCGTCCTGAGCCTCAACTACCATAGGGGAAGGTGACAGCAACTTGACACCTGGGGTAAAGGCAGGGA